ATAAAAAATTACAGTGACATAAGCTATGAAAAAATCATGTTCCTCTGCCTTTTTCAGGTTATAGATGGGTAAGGTTACAAATTATTTATTAAGTAAAAAGACTGTTTGCTAACAGTTAAATGACAATTAACTAAATATTAAATAACTAACAATTTACCATCTATTAATGATTGTTATTATAAAGTGTTACAGAAAACTTAAAGATATGTTAGCATTTCCATATTTTGATATTAGAAGGGAAGGGATTCTGCTTTCACTACCAATGCTTAAAAACATCCCAAGCTAATGTTTGATGCACGGAATTTATTGTGTGGTTTTCCTAACCCCCATTGGTAAATAGATTATCACGGTGGAATAGTTATGCTATGCCACTTTCATCAAAACCTATTAGCTATAGCAATGTCATGTCATTAAATACGATAAACAGTGATTCTGGAACTCCTTAAACCGTTAAAAAACATATTACAGTATGTAACGTTAACCATATTCCGTCCGTTCGAAAAATTTTTTGCACTAACTGTTCGTTACAAGCAGCATTTGCCGTCAGGCAGGTAGCTAACATAAACATATTTTTGCTAGCCTAATGTTACCTGCTGCAAAATTACACCATTTGTACAAGACAAGTAGAGCTATTTTTATGCAGTGTAATTTATTACTTTACCACTATCTGGTATTTTTCTTAACCTTCTCTTCCTTTCTCTTCTTTCTTTTCTGGCTTCCTGAAGCATAATTCCGCTTCATGATAACTCCCGAGGAGGTTTGTATTTTGCCGGCAGCAGAGATCGCGTGGTTGGCTGCTGTCAGCGACTACTGAGGGGGCCCCCTTGAGGGGGATTCCGATAACAGTGTCATTGCACTTTACTGCATTGACTATCAAAGGGGCGCTCACAGTTTGTCGTTGCATTTTATTCTTAAACAGTCGTTGTCTTGGGGCCCCAGTCCAGCTCGGGGCCCCAAGCAATTGCTTGGTTTGCCTGTCCTGTTCCGACGGGCCTGTAAATACCTATCTTTGGATCACGCACTTCGTTGTCGATCTTTTATGTTATGTGTCCCTGAATCCTAGCCTCATGGGACCGTAACAGGGGGCAATGTAATAGACTAGGCCCAGGTCCCATAAGGAGACCCTAGTGGACTGAGGGGGGCGCAGTCGCTGAACACCTCTGTAGGAGCATTAATTATTTTATATTTGTTATTGGTTATTCACTGTCACGTGGGCACAGGTGATCACTTCCGTTTTCTTTATTATTTCCATTGGCGGATTGTTTGAGGCTGTGTTTGGAAGAGGCGAGTTGCGGGAGCCAACTTTCTGTTGACCGTATTGCGTTCAGTGAATCATGTCTGCATATGTCAAGCTGAAAATAAAGGTGAAATCAAGTAAGATCATCAGTCTATTGTTTTGATAACGATATGACGACCGACTGGGAGCGAGTCACGAGCCATCCCGCTACATAGCCTCTTTGTGGCTATTGGATGCCGCGAACAACCTCTAAGAAACTGAGTAACCAAGGCATGAGAACCCAATTGGTGACCATCTATTCGAACATGATGTGCTGAAATTGCAGCTACATAAACTCTTAAAGTAGAAGCTGCTCTATTATTTTCTAACAGTGACTGCAGAAAACCTAAAACCAGAGGAACAGGGCAGTGCTCTGGGACCACTGCTTGCTCCCTGCACCAATCAGAGAAGAGCTTCCATCGACAGGTATAAGCACTCCTGGTGGAAGGCGCTCTAGAGTTCAATATGGTGTTCTACACCTCTTGATCGCAGACTCTAAAGAGTGGTTTAGCCCCTTCAGAGGCCAAACACAGAGCTACAGACGGTCTGGATTCGGGTGCCAAATCTGACCCTCCAAATGCTGGAGGAGATCCCTTCTCCTGGGAATGGTCCAAGGATCCCCGTCTAGGAGCCTGTACATCACTAGAAACCAAGGTCCCCCCGGCCAGGTATCCGGGGAAAGGCATAGAGTAACTGATCTGGCCAGGACTGGATTCCTCCGCTATGCAGGAATTTTGTTTCTGTCAAACAGCGACCCTAGAGTCGCTGTGGAGTACTTGTATTTAATGTTACTGTCATAAATACCACTCACGCAGAGCGTCTCTGCACTCACGGCCTGATACCCCTTTGAAGCTGTTATATTAAGGTACAAATCTTGCATAGTGTGCCTTTAAATAAGAGATCTAGGGGGTGTTTATGGTTATGCCTACTATGATATTAGACTACATAGCCTATAATAAAAGATAATGAATTTCAAACCTGAACCAAACATTTTTTTTCAAAGATGTCATTAGTCTTTCACTAAAAAACGGCGTGTTGTGGTTCCAGTACACCAGCCATGTCAACGAAACGAATGAATGAAAATTTGCTTATCAATGTATATCTAAATTCGCCTAAATCTTTGTAGAACTTCAAAAAAAGAAACAGAAAAGATGCTGCAGCCAATAAGCCGCCGGCGGGGGCCGACTCAACCTCCACGGACAATTTTTAATATTTTATCAGACAATAACTACTAAAGATTTTGCTTTAGTATAATTTTCGGGACAATTAGGGCCGGATTCGGGACAACAGCTTAGATTTCAGGACTGTCCCGAACATTTCAGGACTGTCCCGAACTTTTCGGGACGTCTGGTCACCCTATGTGGCGGCGCGCGCCCAGTCTCCACTCGGACGCACTCTTCAATCTATTGCCGTTGCGGACTCTCTCTATTCATTCCGGTGAAAATCACAAAATAAAATGCACACAAACTTAGAAATATTTACTTATAAGTCCATCAACAAGATCGCCAGGTCAGCATCACTGTTGCATCCAGTGCTGCTTTTTAGCTCGCGCCAACGAGTGAAAAGCCCCATCTATGGAAAAGCCTGACCGAGTGGGACTGGAGTTGTCTAGTTCCTCACGCGGTCAGATTCTCTTTTCCTTTTCCGTCTCTTCCGATCACGTTTTCTTTGCTTTTTCCATTGTCGAGTATCACGTCTGAAAGGCACGTAAGTGTCTTCATGCTTCATTATGTTGTGGTTGATGTGCGTGACGTCGTTGCCGTAAAGCATGTCGTGATTCTCGCGAGATTTGTCGGGTGCGCTCCTCTGAAACTTGCATTGCTGGTTTTTCTAGCGGCGTCCCCCCCAAGCTTTACTAGCAGGATGATTCGCCCTACTATGAGTTTGTTTACCACCGAAATGACTTTGAAGCTGTTATATTAAGGTACAATTCTTACATAGTGTGCCTTTAATTACAACTAAACCATCATTTGGCTGAATAATAAACCAACATTAATCATTCAATACCACATGTTTCTAATACGCATGCTAACACTCACTATTTAATAGTGAAGTCTGAGTCTCTTCCACCTGTATGAAACACATTTACACATGTATTTCTCCTCATAGACAGCAGTGAGACTCTTCTGTGGATCACCTGATGGTTTCTGCTCCTCTCATCTCCGTTTCACAGATTTAAACTATGATGTAAATCCACTGACGTTTGATGACTGATCTCCATCTACACTGTAAAGTGGAACAGAAGAGAAAACAATCAGTGTTCAGTGGAACAAAGTGCAAATTATTATATTTCAATTACTGTTTACTGAGTAAAAATAAGTTAAATTTAATTCCTGTAATCAGATTAATTACTGACTTTACATGATCTTGCATAGATATTTGTGTTTTTAAATAATAGATTTAAACCTGAATCATGTTCATGTGTGTGTGTCGGTGCGACTCCTATTGAGTCTCTGTAAAGGAGAAACTAATGAGTGTACGGCGTATGGAATAAACCACAGGGAGCAAATACTAATGTTAAACACAATAACTAATGAGTTAAACACAAACCTTTAGTTAAAGCCGTTTGTCCTCTAGTTTAAACATGTTTGTAGGCTCTTCGTAAATAACTGAGAGTAAAGTAAGTGTAGAGTAGTGTGACGTGTTGCTTGTCACAGTAAAACACACTAGAGACAGAGACATTGCTCATGTGAGCTGGACGCTGTGAGCTGAAGCTGGAACTGCACTGATTTTAGCAGGAGTGCAGCGTTTCCTACAATCTGACCAAGTCTGTTTTCACACTGAAATGATTCACTTCTACTGACACAGTTCATAAAGCAGGTGTTGATGTATAAAGCTGTGACAGTGAGCTTTTCTTCTCTTTCCTCCTTTGTGTTCAACATTTCAATTACTTCACATTTTGTTCTCACACAAACCCTTTGTTGCAATAAAGCTTAATGATAATTTCCTTTCACGAATATTTGAAAGGATTGTTCACATATCAGAGGTAAATGAAGATCTCTTTAATATCTCAGTGATGTTTCCTCACCTCAGGACACAGTTTGAGTCTCGTAGCTCGTCTCTGAGTCGCTGCTTTGAGTCTCCGATCTTATTGTCTCTCAGATCAAGCTCTTTTAAAAACTGCAGTGCTTTTGAGTTAGTCAAAGACTGAGTTAAAGAAGAAACATCTGTAATGCCACAGCGATATAGACTAGAGAGACACAAACAGAGGAAGAGAGATTATCTTATAAAAAAATCATGAATGTGAAGAATTTTACACAGATATAATGTGAACTCAGACTCACTGTCAGATATTGAGAATAAAGTGTTTTAGTTTAAAAAACCCAGAAAGTGCACTGCTATAACCAATGAAACATAAGCCCTGCTGTCTTCAAATAAATAAACTTCAGTCACACTGTAATTGCTGTACAGTATAATGACACTAACTGTAGTTTCTCCAGCTTGAATTGTGGGTTCATCAGTAGATCACTGAGGATTTTCACTCCAGAGTCTCCTAGTTTATTCCCGCTCAGGTCCAGCTCTCTCAGGTGTGACGGGTTTGATTTCAGAGCTGAAGTCACATCAGAACAACCTTCATCTGTCATATCACACCAGCTTAACCTACATTAGCAGAGAGAGAGAGAGAGAGAGAGAGAGAGAGAGAGAGAGAGAGAGAGAGAGAGAGAGAGAATTGAATTTTAAACACCTTTTATTACAAATAACCTAATACTAATACATTCAGTTCCTACCTACAAGAGTACAAAAAAACATACACATTCAATATATCAAATAGAAAACTCATTCCAAAATATGTGCAAACTGTAAACTCTCATTAATTATTTCACACAGAGCCCCCTTATAACACCAAATCAATTCAAAAGACATAAGATCCCCCATAGCCTTATAAAACCGAAAGTCAATTAAAATTCTGGATTTTACTAGGTTAAGAAACACAATCTGCAAATTAACACTTAAATTGCGTTCAATTCTTATTTTTCTAGTGTCATATATCGCCTTCTTTGCTTGACCCAGCAAAAAATTCAATAATTGACAACAAAATCGACATCTCCGGATGTATTTAAACCCACAAATAAACGTTTCCAAAGAAAAAGTCTCATCAAAACAACCAAATAAACTCTTTAAAACCTGAAACAATGGTAAAAGCCTGTTACAATACACAAAAGCATGAAATATGTTCTCCTTCTGAAAACAGAAAGGGCATTCATCGCTAGTATCATGGTTTATGACTGAAATAAGTGCATTCACGGCAATCGCTCCATGAAGAATCCTCCACTGTAAGTCACCCACTTTTTTTGGCAAAGGTGACTTGTATAACGCTCGCCATTCCGGCTTGACATCCTCTCCTAGATGGAGGACAGAACGCCAAGGCGTATCAACTCTTTTATGCAAACACTTCTTATTCAGAGTTTTGACACAGTTTTTGTACAAAAATTTTCCAGACACTGGATTAGGACCCATTAACATCAACAAGTTAGGTTGTAGAAAGACACCTTCACATTCTTCAAAATCAGTCAACAGACACAAATCAGGAAAAGGGTCATTGCAGTCTGGAGTAATTAACCCTTCAGTATAATCTTCCAGCAGTTTAACTTCTTCTGACGTAAGTGCTGACTTCCATTCTCCAAGTAATTTGGCCGTTATGCGTTTCGATTTCAACCCCAACTGTCTGACGACCGCATCAACATTCTCAAAGTCCAGTCCAGCCAGTTTAAATAATTGTCCAAGCGTCAAAACTCCAGCATCAAGAAGAATATCACAAATTGCAGGGAGTGTCTTTCCATTTGACAAGTCCAAGCGCGATCCATGAACCAGCGGTTCTTTTAGCAACCAATGCAGTGAGGTCATAGAGCTGGGTCTCTGCACCTTGAACAATGACCAAACTTTAAACAGATTCCGATAAAAAATGGGCAACTTAGACAAGTCCATCCTTTGCGGATTCAACCAAAACAAAGATCTCTCAAAGTCCAGACCTCTGAAATTTCGCAAAATAACACAAGCAGCATGTTTCCAGTTTGAGTCTACTGGCCCAGTCAACAGCCTTTGGGCAAACTGAAGCCTAAAGGCTGCTATTCTGCTCTGTATATGCATTAAACCATGTCCGCCTTCTTCTTTGGGTAAATACAGAACGGCTTTCAGCACCCAATGCATCTTGTCCCAAAAAAAATCAACTAAAATAGATTGTAATCTTGGCAATAAATCTTGTGGAGGATCTACACAATAAAATCGATGCCATAGAGCAGATGCAATTAAATTGTTTATAATCAATACTCGACCTTTATATGACATTTTAGGGAGCAAAAATTTCCATTTGTTAAGGCGACCTTTAAACTTCTCCACAATCCCTTCAAAATTCTTTTTCATAAACATTTCATCCCCTAAAAACACTCCCAAATATTTTAAGCCTTCCTTGGTCCAGGATAACCCTTCTGGAAGTGTTGGTTCCATATTGTCCCAACTTCCAACCAAAATTGCTTCGCTCTTGGACCAATTTACTTTTGTGGCAGAAATTTTTTGAAAATTTTTCAAGATCTCCAACAACACATTTACATCTCTCTGTCCATTAATTAGAATGACAATGTCGTCAGCATATGCCGATAACTTAAAAACATTTGTACAGCATGGGACACGTACTCCAGACACTTGTGCTCTTAATTTATTTAAGAGAGGCTCTATAGCCAAAGTATACAGCATTCCAGACAATGCACAGCCTTGTCTGATACCTCTAAATACTTTGAAAGGGGCACACAAATTTCCATTAATTTTTAAAATACTTTCGACATAATTGTACAACACTTTAATCAAGGAAATAAAACCATTGCTAAAAGCAAAAGCTGTTAAAACATTCCATAAATACAAGTGCTCCACTCTGTCAAAAGCTTTTTCTTGGTCAATTGACACAAGGCCAAAGTCCAATTTTAAGTTTTTACCTATCTCTAAAATATCTCTAATAAAGGAAATGTTATGAAAAATTTGTCTCCCTGGAACACAATATGTCTGATCGGGATGAAAAATTTGACTTAAAACTTCACTTAATCTACTCGCCAAAACTTTGGAAAGTAATTTGTAATCTGTACACAGCAAGCTCACAGGTCTCCAATTTTTTATCTCATTTAGATCACCTTTCTTTGGCAATAATGTAAGAACACTTCTTCTACAACTTAAAGGTAGTTGTCCATTAATCAAACTTTCATTTATTACTTGCAATAAATCTGGGCTCACTTCTGTCCAAAACGTCCTATAAAATTCAACTGGTAGCCCATCTATTCCAGGTACTTTACCACCTTCCATACTTTGAAGTGCCTTTTCTAATTCCTCTAAAGTGACAGCTTTACTAAGTTCAGCATTTACTTGCCAATCGGAATCATCTTTATAGGCGAGACTGTTTTTCCATAACGGGCAAGCAATCCGATCAACACTTCATTTGGGATAAATGGTGGCACATTCGATAAAGTGACCTTTTTAGAAGGTGTAGACAAGGAAAGCACTGGTGTAAAAATACCGTTAATCACTATGCCGCTTTGTACTAACTGATTTGCTAAATCCACTGTTTTCACAAATACAACAACAGTGCTGTTCATACGGGACGCTGATACAATATTCTCATGTCCGACCGCTTCTCCCACCGCTAAACTGCATCCCTCCACACCAGCACCTGAGTCTATTTTTACACCATGACGCCTTGTCAAAGAATTGAAACTTCCACCGCTGCCTGGGGTAGCCATGCTCCCAACACGTGGGAGCCGACACCCCGTCTGACACAACACTCACTTCCCTACTTCACAACTTAAATCTACAAAAAACAAAACCAATAAACAACTAACCAAAAAATAAATAAATAAATAAGATAGAGAAGTATAGACCACTCGTACCTCACACAGCAGCCAAACGCTCGCTCACACTCACTCCGCCCACTCACCCGCACATGCGCACAGAGAGAGAGAGAGAGAGAGAGAGAGAGAGAGAGAGAGAGAGAGAGAGAATGAAGAAAATGAGAGACTCTTTATTCTGTAAAGTCACATCATCTTCATCAGCAAATAAAACAGACAGAGGAAGAGAGATCTTCATCTTTATTTCACCAATCACAAAATACTAAGGTGAAAACATTTGTACAAATATAATGTTAATGTGTTCTAGTTTAAACAGTTGAAGTGATTTTAAGCATTTTGATTCTTGTATGTGAATGTGACTGACCTCAATCTCTCCAGTTTACAGTGTGAATCCTTCAGTACGGCACATAAGTGCTTCACTCCTGAGTCTCCTAGTTTATTCCTGCTCAGGTTCAGCTCTCTCAGGTGTGACGGGTTTGATTTCAGAGCTGAAGTCAGGATGAGACTCTGTTTCTCTGTAATTCTGCATCTATTCAGACTGAAGACAGAGAAATAACAATAGTTCACATCTATGATGATCATCTTATTGAAGAGCTACAGCAGCATTTAGTTTCCAATAGTCTGTTTTAAAACCCAGTCACACTAGTTCTGTCAGTCAGTGCCGTGATCCTCAACTACAAGTTTATTGTTGAATTCCTCCTCCTCGTCGCTTTCCTCCACTTCTCCCTCTCCGGCCTCCGCTAACTCCTCCTGCCTCGCTTGCGCTAACAGCTCCGCCCAGATGCGCAGGGCTCTCTTGCGTGCGCAATCTGCACCATACCGAACTGGCTTAAACAGACGATCTGACGGGTTTTAGAAGATTAAATACATGGTAATTCTGAATAATGTCTCTAGGGGCACCTCATATTTTCGGTTGCAAATTGATGTTCACAGTCCCACAGTGCTTTTGGCTGGATTTGTGCGCAAAAAACGTGCCAACAGTGTAAGCGAGGAAAAATGAAAGTCAGAGAATACAGATCCTATTTATTTTGCATAAACATGAAGCTGCAGCTTCAAAATACATGAATTACACTTACGAATACGATTAAAATGCTGGAAATGTTTTTTTTGAAAGTTGAAAGGCGATTTACACTTTTACAAATCTTCTCTTGCGCATGCCAATTTAATTTACGCTTGCAATCTTAAGTACAATTTCACAAATCTTACCCTGCGCATGCGATTCTTTATGGCTTCATAATACCTTCATACACAAGCACCTATTAAATATATTTCCATAATAGTATTATTGCATAAATATATATTTGTATACTTCGAATGTGTTTGAATATTTCACCAGTATCAGCACTGGGACTTGTCACTGTATTAAGGCCAATTTATACTTCTGCGTCGAGTGTACGCCGTAGTGTACGGCGTAGGCTACGCACGTAGGCAACGCCGTCATGAGCATTTATACTTCTGCGTTTAGGTCTGCGTTGCTCTGCAGTACAGCGCCGAAACGCTAGTTGGCGGCGGAGGGTTTTAATGTTCCACTGTGTTTAGATTCCTCGCGGCAAGAAGAAGAAGATTCCTCGCGGCTGTTTTGAGTTTAGGTTACTACAAGCAATGCCGACTGAAAGAGAGCAGATTATGTTGGAGTTGGAGCTTATCGAGGTGGAAAAGGTAAATTTTTAGTTTTTTTAACAGTTTCGCTGTACTTAGAATTTAAAAATGGCGGGCGGTGCAGAAGAACACGCCGGAAATGCATAGGAGGAAACGCGATGCTACCAAGCCGACCAATCACAGATCTTGCGGTCCGCGTCGTCGCGACGTGTAGTTACATTTTTGAGGAGGTGCGCGTCAGGTTACGGGGAAGGGTACGGCGTATGGTACGCGTCTGTGCGTATGCTACGCCGTACGTACTGCGCGCACCCGACGCAGAAGTATAAATTGGCCTTTACTCCACTTGTCTGTGTTTGTGCAACTTGCATCTGTAAGCCAGTAGGGGGCGACACGTGACTGTCTTTATGAGTGAGCAATTGGCTTTATGCCACAGCTTCACTACTTCCTGAACTTCAGCCAGCCCTTTGTTTCCTGTCTGTCATTATTGGACAAACTGATTAATCCAGGTGTGCCTGGCATCAGTAACAATAATCAGGCACACCTGGATTAATCAGTTTGTCCAATAATGACAGACAGGAAACAAAGGGCTGGCTGAAGTTCAGGAAGTAGTGAAGCTGTGCATAAAGCCTATTGAACCATTAATTGAACTGATTAGTCCAAAAACACCTTAAATTGCACATGTGTAGATCAGGAAAATCTAAATTTCCCCCGAACCCCCTAGCAACATCAGTTTTGGGACCTCAGTTTTTATAAAACCCTGCGTACGGCTCTGCCTTCATGTTACCATTGTCTTCTGTCTGGCTTTGTTCCCTTTTTTGTTCCTTATAATCTAATATGATTAAATATCAAGTGTCTGTATAATATGTGCTCTTTTATCAATTTCCAGTGCTTGTTTTGTTTATTTTATGGATGGCTCAGCTGAACAGGCCAATAAGAGACTATTAACTACTATTATTCCTTTTAATTACTCTAATGTCTGATTAAAACATCTACAAATGTATAAAACTGATCAGAGATCAGGTTAAACCCACAGACACTTGTTCAATCTCAGTATATCTGCATGATTCATGGGTTCACAGAGATCATCTTCCCCCAGCGGTGAACCACTGACATTTCCAAACGTTTTGAAACAGTTATGACGTAACTAATCCTCGTTTCCTGAAATCATGTGACTTTGGCAGTTTGATACACGCTCCGAACCACTGATTCAAAACAAAAGATTCAGAAAGGTTTCGTATCTTCATGAAGCGTGTTTCGAAAGCGCCCATCACTAGCGTTCAGTGGATCTTATTACAGGCAGATACTGATCACAGACTTTTAAAATGCACTTGTTCAATTTTTACAAGTTACACCAAAATGAGACGTTCTGCCTCTACAGAAACTGAAATAATTATTGACCCATGATCCAACTGTCTGTCTTAACCAAATATTTAAAGCTTGATATCAAGTTTTAATTGTGTGTTTTTAATTTGCCGTTTAATTTTATTACTTTAAATTGTTGTGGGTCTGTGTGACGCTGAGGAAAAAACTGCTCTGACTCAAACAAGAGAGGAAATATTATCATCAGCTAACATTGCAACTAAAAGTAATGTTATAAATAAACGAGCAATACTCACGTCAGTCTGTTGAGTCGACAGTGTTTATCCTGCAGTAGAGCAGCGATCTGATTCACTTGTGTGTCTCTTAGTTTATGTTCACTCAGATTCAGCTTTCTCTGGAGAAACGGGTTTTCACCCATAACTCTATTCACATACTGACAGGCTTCCTCTGCAGCAGGACTCAAAAACCTGCAGAACAGTCAATTCAGTTCTCAAATAAATGTCTGTTGCATTACAAAAAAGATTAATACGATACATTTTTTTATTTTTCTTTGAACATTTAAATACACAAATAAATATAAATTTGAAAGAAACTAGAGCGACACTCAGTCCTAAAGCTAACTCATAAGAATAGAAACGTCTCACGAGCAGAGGGGCAAAAGCTCACTAGATCATGGTTTTCAGTGTGAACACAGAGTGTGAAATTAAGATCTTTCTGGCTTTTAAGCAGGAGAAGTGAGAAACGTCAGCACAGAGAAAACTGGCTTGTAAAACTGCATGTTTGTGAACATCTGGAGACTCATAGACCTGCTACAGAGAGATGCAGTGAATCTGGGCTTGATGGAAAACAACTGTGTTCAGAAAACTATTTCATTAAAAGGTTATCTAGAATTTTGATGAGAAGTGTGCACAAAAATAAAATTGTGCATTTCAATTATCAAGGTATACTCCAGAATAGCAGCACATACAGAAGGTACTCTACCAGAATGCTTATTACCGGCGCGCAAAAATAAACCAGTGGCATTTCAAAGTCGTTCACGAAATGACCGCCAGGTAGAGCAAAGGGACATTAAGCAAAACAGCAGCAATTGCCGCATTTTGAAACTAAGTGGGGCTAATGTCAATTAACAGTAAGGATGAAATACTACAACTATGGTAATTTCCAAATAAGCCTACAACAAACATGACAAATCAAAACAAGAGCTATTGACATTTACTGTACAATAATGAAACAAACAAAGATTTGGTGGAGTTGAAACTGCATGTTAAAGTAATAATTGTATTATTAATTAAAGAAAGACAATGTGGTTAATGTTATTTAATCAAACGATCATACAATTTATAGTTTACATAGTATACATGTAGTATGCATATAGACTTTTATTTGTACGAACAGTGAACTATTATATAACAAACGAAACAGAATAGAACAAACTTTTAGATCAAAAAAATAATAATAATACAACTTTTTTTAAAATAGCCTATAGGCTACAACAGATTTGGTTAAATTGAACGAAAGCAAAATGTAATTATGTAAAAGTAAATTTTAAACAGATTATAACAAACTTTTAGAGCAGAACATTTTATGAATCAAAAGTTAAAATAGGCCTATCTCGCAGTCGGTGAAAATAAATGAGGTGCAATGACGCTAACAGGGGCGAGTGGGACCAAAAAATCTACCGGGCAATTTCGTAGACAACCGGCCCTCGTGGGGGGTTGATTTGTTTAAATATAATATTTTAATATCTATTTTAATGGGTTTAAGCTGGGTTTAATAATTTGCTGGGTTTATTTTTTTTCCCTCTGTATTCTGTAGCAAATTCTGAAAAGGCATTTGTAAGCTATAATTCATGCTGTGTACTGTATCTTAACTTGAGAAGCCAGAACCCCTTTTACATTTAATAGAAAACATAATGAACCACTTATATTACGTAAAAATGTGGGTACATTTGCAATGCTAATAATATGCATCATTACAGTCTGTAAATATCTCTTAACAACACAATGCAATCACTAGTAAGACTTCCTGTTAATAAAGTATCTGGGAAGAATCTATTCTTAACAATGCATTAAATCACATTACACATTAATAAACCACAATAAATAAAACAAATTAAGTGATGTCTCATGTCTCAAGTCAAGTGAATTACGGGTCATTGGACAGGCGTCCAATCACAACTGACTTCCGGAAAAGGGGAAGTAACCAATGACATTTGAGCAGGGACGTGCACAGGGGGGTTGCTCAGGTTGCCCGGGCAACTGCCCATATGCCCTTCTCGACTCATGTTGCCCTTCCGAGAAAAAAATAAAATAAAAAATCGTACAATGGATGCAGAATTTCACGTAGTCCTAGATAAGAAAAAAAATCGCAAAGCCTCATTAACTTCCATTCGGGCACCGAAAGTGAAAGTCATTAAGGGAAGGGCAAACTGTTTACATGGCTGCAGCGCTGCACGTGACCGGTGCGTAAGGCCCCGCAAATTACTTAAGGCCCCGCCTCCATCTCGTGTCATAGCGCGTCAATTAATGTGTACAACATCCATGACAAAATGAAGCGAAACTATCCTTCTGTTCACGAAAAGAGGAAGAAGAAAAAAAAACACCAGAGTGAATTGCGGGAACAACAATCAGGTAAACTAGTGTTCTCTACTCTCTAAGTTTGATGTCAGCAAAGTTTGATGTCTTTCGGTCTTGCTAACCTAGCTGGGCAGACAGTGCATCTTTTGCATCACTTTGTGCCTGAAAAAAGTGAGAGTAAAATACAATTATTTATTACGTTTGTTTTTGATAAACGACAAAGTGCAACGGTGTTTGTTTACTGCAGCTCGGAAAACATAACCGCGTCGCGTGTGTTATCATGGGTTCATATGCGCGTTCACGAAATAAAACTCGCATTTTTCAAGCAGAAATATGTGGAGACCAGACATACTGTACAATACATGCACACACGTGAATGATGGCACTCCCAATCAAAGTACACATTATAAAACAAGACACTGATTATTAGGGGTGTGCAAAAAAAACGATTCACATTTGAATCGCGATTCAATCTTTACCGATTCAGAATCGATTCATAGAATTCCAAAAATCGATTCATATATATATATATATTTTTTTTTTATGGCGTGCACGGGCGGAGTGGCAATCGGGTGAGTCGGGACTTTTACCGGTGGTTCGGTAGTGTTTCGAGGCTGCGAGGGCCGGTCTGATAAATAGTTACATTGCAAGTTCTTGCCGCCCGCTGGTCAAACTGTGCAGCCTCTCTGCTCAACCCGTAAATAAATGCATCGATCCGCAGATTATGTTTGAGTTCTTAATGGTCTGTAGATCTTTTGCCAAGCGTGTCAGAGGTTACCGGTTCTAAACCGCACTCGTATAGTTTTTTTCACGTTTGTGTGCATTTTATTTTGAGATTTCACCGGAACCACAACGGCGATATGAAGCGCGCGTCCGAGTGAAGACTGCGCGAGCCACAGAGAACTCTGTATCCATGACACATAGCAGCGGCAACGAGCGCTGTCAGCGCTCAGCTTGATTTCAAAAACAACAGATCTCTTATTTAATAGCGAACTAAATTAATGCTCTGCTAGTTAACTGGAGATACCCGCAAATTACGCCTATGAACGACCTCACTGGATCTAAACAAATCAATCTAACCATAGATGTTACCAGTAGCGGTGGCTTTTTAAAATCTATTTAAAATTATTTCGCAAGGGTTCTATGACATTAGTATATTTTTAGGAAGTTCAATGTGCCCAGTCGAGTTCACATTTCAACAGTCAGCCTGGTAGCTGAAGTAGTCCTTAAACCACATTTAGCATAATTGTTTGTTTGATCTGACTACAGCACTTTAAAGCTAAATGTAAAAGTTTTTATTTAAGTTTTATTTTAAACTTGAATTAAATGTATTTGAAAGCTGGCCAAAGCTTGGCACTTTGCACTTTTTAGTTGCAAAAGTTTTTATTTTTGTATGAAGACAAAGGAATATCAAACTACATTTAATTTGTTGTTGTTTTTTTCTTTTAAATTGTGTCTACTGCAATCAATCACATAGGAAAAAGTAAACTACATTCATAAACTGCGAATCGTTTTTTGAATCGAGAATCGTTTTTGAATCGAAAATCGATTTTGAATCGAATCTTGAGACAAAAAATCGGTATCGAATCGAATCGTGACATTTTCTGAATCGTGCACCCCTACTGATTATCTAGTCTCAGTGTAGTTAAAAACTCTAAACAACTGCACTAATTATGCAAGATAGAAAGCAATGTACTGACATTGTAATTTGACATTGATTGACTATTGATTTATAGGCTATATTGAATTTAAAATGTTGATTAGCTGGACATACTGGTCAATATGGATGCACATCCCTCAGTAAATAATAACCATAAATCAAGAATTGCTTCAACATGCATAATAAAAAAATAAAAAAATCATACTGATGCCGAAAATACCCAGGCTGTAGAGAGAACCAAAGTTAATCCCAAAAGCCAAAGCTCAGGGTTATAATTTATTATTTTCTTTCTTCTTATTTATGTTTACATTAATATTCACTTGTTATCTTAACATTCTATAGAAAATACTCTATTCAATAAATATTGTTTGTTTGAACCTCATTCTGTTCTATATTGTTGTACTTATTCTTTGACTGTTTTGTTTAAATGAGGGAGGATTGTATTGGGAGCACTGAAGTGTCAGGTGTGACTGTGTGGCAATGGCAAATGGTTTACATAGCTCACGGCGTCACAGGTCAGGTAGAGGCCCATTAGCAGAATTTTGAGATGGTCCTCACTGCAGAACATGAAATCCACGGGGAGGAGTCGGATCCAGATCCAACTCCTCCCACCTTACATATACCTAATCCTACCCATCTCCGCCCCCTAAAGGTTAAAAAAGATTGTATTTTTTCCCAAATTTTTTTCCCGAAAGTGTGCCCTTTTTTCAGGTCAGAGCAACAGCCCCTCAAAATTCCTGTGCACGTCCCTGCATTTGAGGTTATTAAAATAGTAAGTCCCGCCCCTCGACTGCCAAAAATAAAACTGTTCAGTGAGCAAAAGCAGCAGGCGAGAGCAGATCAAGCGCGAGAGCGTGGGGAATGATCATGCGCGTGCGATGGCTTGTATTGCGTGCAGAGATGTCATGCGGGCGCGCGGTTTTTGAATGAGCTCGCGAGTTCCCGTTTCCTCACGTGTAGATCTGTTATCCTCTTGCAGAAGTCATGTACCGCGTGCACCAGCATCAGTTGTGCGCTCGGTTATTATTGCCATTGATTTGCCACCGTAAAAGCTGGCCTAAACCGAAATAGCGTTTTCATTCTTTAGTCATTGAAATAATTTTGATAAACTTTTATGACAGAGATATTACTACATGTAGCCTAAATGATTTAATTCCTTCATTATCAACACTTTAATATCAACTCTTTGTCTCAGACGCTCCTCAGAGAGCCTGTGGGGGGTTGGAGGGAG